CTTGAAAATTCATGTTTGGGTCCTTGTGTACTCCTCGAATAGTCCTTGAATTTTAAGTGCTTACCTCAGCACGAACCCTGATAACGTGAACCAAGAAATACCGCTGTTGTTATCTCAAAGGTATGTACATCTACACAGAAGCAACAGCTCCCCGTCAACCGGGAGACAAGGCTCAAATCTCCCTCATCAGGTCAAGTGGGATATCATGTATGCGCTTTTGCTACCATATGTACGGTGAAGATACAGGTGAGCTCAACTTGTACCATTATAACACACGAACAAGAAGAAGAAGGTTAATATGGAGTAGAAGTGGACCACAGGGGAATGAATGGCTTGAGAGCAAGATAACGTTTTTGGCGGGGACATATCAGGTATTCGGCATTACATTGAGGTTATAACGTGAAAAGATGTTAGTTTAACAACCTATTCAAGATCCTGATGTCCAATCGCACAATCACGGCAACGCGCGACGTCACTTAATTTCACCAACACATTAATTCGAAACCAACTGGGATCATTGCCGACTAAATCCAAAACTTTTTTACGCATAATAGCCCTTTCACARTTCCCTTCGCCATCTTGAAAGGTAGCTGTACCTTTGCGTTGAAGCGAGACGAACGGTGATAGAGATATGTGAATAATTGTCCTAGGTGTTAAAAAAGGTCTTTATCATTGGAAGCTCACCGTTCGTCTCGCTTGGATGCAAAGGCACGGCTACCTTTCAAGATGGCGAAGGGAACTGTGAAAGGGGTTATTACCCGATGTCAATGTTTTGTGTAAAATCTCATCCTGTGTAATTTGCTTTACTAAAGGACTTTGGCATGTGTTTGATTGCAGCTTACTTTTGAGGCCGTGCGTGGCTCAGGGTTCAAGAGTGATATCGCATTAGATGATATTATCTTCACTGATGGCCCGTGCGTTTCTAAACCCTCTCAACGCCGCACAACTATGGACACTACGACCTCATCAATAGATGATTCTCTTCAGGGTGAGTAACCAAAATAACTATCGACCAACTTAGTTCAGGTATATTATCTATTAATAGCTCTTTGCATCCCGCGTCCCAATGGTCTTATAGATTGGCTGGAATGCGATTCTTGGGCTACAAGAATATAACACAATCATTCTCCAGTCTGGAATTCTCTGTATTACTCATATATTTGTTCCAGTGAAGGTCCAAAGAATTTAAAGTGTTTGTATTGTTGAAGTTGTGCATTCTTTACTGTTGAAATGTGTGGATATACCTTGGAAAATGAGCCTGTAATCAAGGAACACAGCGGTTTCCATGAATTTGAAAAAGGTTTGTTGGTTCAGAGAGTATCAAACCGCTGGACCGTCTGACCGTCCACTTAGAAACCCAAGAAATCTACCTTAGTTCTAATTTAGTAGGATTAAAACTTACAAAGTGGTTTCCTTTAGTTTCTTTACTGATGGAACTAAATGGAACACTCTACATTATCTTATGGCTAGTACATCAAAAGCGAGGTATTTCAACTTACTTAATATTTTYGATGATGATGATGAAGAGGTGTTATAAAGGTTATATGAGTATAAATACACGTTTTAGAATAAATTGATCTTATTTTAATCAAAGTTTTGACTTTTCCTTTCTAACAATTTTTTACTGTCACCCTGTCTCACCTAAACTCAGCTCAGTTCAGTTTGGAATATGAACCAACTCGTCTCAATAGCATGTTGCGCGCAAACTGTGAAGAAAAATTATACTGCTACTGTGAGACGGGTGTGATGTTGATCTTTCTGTTTCAAAATGGAAGCTATTAAAAAAAAGTACAACGAAAAAAGATATCGTAGTATTAATTTTACTTAATATGAAGAGCGCCAATTTCTGCCATAACCGCCTGGCCAATAAAAAACAGAAATAACGACAAAAGACACACCTAAATATTCTTTTTGACTTTTGACTCTCAAAACGCTACACAGCAATGGACGGTCCAACCCCATCTGCAACACATGCCAATGGTCTTTGATTCCCTTGTAGTTGTGCCAAAAAAATAGCTACGTTAGAGTATCGATTCCATATGGTTTATCCAGATGGTGCTATCAATATCCATGTTTTGATGATTGTGACAATTGAATGGGAGTCAACGACGGGACAACGGAGGTGAGAGAGTTCGAATCTAGGGATGCTATTTTCATGAGGCAGGCATGTAAGTGGAATAATTGAACCAATCCCGGCCGAACTCAGGATATGGGTTTTTTGTCACCTGCATATCGTGGGAAAAAGCTTCAAATTTTCCGAATACGTTAGGAAATTAGACCAAGTCGGGCTTAATCTTTCAAATCCATCATGATTTCAGCATTGTTTCTTTTCCTTTGTGGCTCTCTATTAGGACATTTGAGGACCGGATAGAATCGAAAAATCTAGGTGATACGGTGCAAGTGAGAACCAGAGCAATTTGTCAGTCTATTGTCCCAGACAACATCAGTGGAAAAACACCATAAAGTTGAAATATTGTGTTACATCTGTTATCTATCATAGAGAGGTTCAGTTCACGCAAAGCATTATGGAAGTAGTAGTAGTAAAATAGCGATACATATGAACGGCCTGTTCAATCTTGTTTGATCTTCAATATCTGAAAACCATTCAAGAACGTTACGTAAGAAAATAGAATTAAACAAACTGGTCAAAGATCAGCGCAGGAGTAAAATGTTGAGAATGTTGACTTAATAAAAGTTAAAGTCTTTGAAATGACCTGAAATTTAACTGCGCTCAGTTGGAGCCGACGGTAATGTACTTTATATATACATGCCCTCTCTCTCCATCAGCGCACATGCTCTGTTGTTCTCTTCACTAACCACGTTGCCTAACATCAAACCTTCAAAATGAGCGAAGATTTTGCAAGTGGAGCCACTGGTGCTTCAAAGCACTATTTATCTCAAGCTTCAGCTCTTAGCAAAAGATGGTTACGTATTAATAAAAGAACGCCCCTGCAAGATTGTAGAGATGTCCACCTCTCGAAAACTGGAAAACATGGACACGCCAAGGTACACTTGGTTGAAACGGCATTTGCACGAACAAAAAATATGAACTGGATATCCTTCCTTCGACCCACTACATGAATGTGCCATGTGTAAATCGTGATGAGTACCAATTTATGGGCTTAGATAAAATTGGGTTTCTGAGTCTGTTGGGTCAAGCCCAAAGGATGATGCTCGAGTTAAAGATCAAGATTTAATTAATGAAATAAAAGAGTAGTATATTTTACTGTGCTTCTTGACCACAGACTCATCTGTACAGCAGGTTTAGCTTTGGTTTATGGCCCATCATTTGCAAAAGCCATCAACTGTATGTTTGTAATGTGAAGAATATGCAGCTTACAGCATCCCACGGATTGTTAAAGATATCCACGAATAGCGAGCGTTTAAATAAGGCTAAATCTGTATAAATGAGCCTAGGGTAATCAAAATTTCAGCGGTATGCACTAAATAACAAGAGAACTATTTTGTATCTTCTTCCTTCATTTGCACATCAAACCATTCCCAGTATACGTTAGCGTTGACAAACAAAAGAATTTTTCGCACTTCATTAAAACCTAATAGCTTGCTTTGATCAAAACCAAATGCTATCATAGGTCTTTTCTGAGTTAGATAAACAGGATGCATTGTGGTCTAGCTTTGGTACGAGCAACACCATATAAGGCATGATGAACAACAAATATTTGTACCGAAGCTAGACCACAATGCGCCATGTTTCCTATGTGAAAAATGGCTACCATCTTTTCCGTTAGCTTCTGTTGCAAATCGTTCCAAATAATCTTCAATTCAAAAAATTGTAACCTACCAATATGACAGGCCATTTACCACCCATGAGGGTAAATAAGCAGCATATTTAGCTTCCTGGATTCGTTGTATTTTAGTATTGATATGAATAAAGGAAATCCACACCCTTCATTCTCCCATCCTGCATTCTAGATCTCCCATCCTCTGTCTGTCGTCGAAGCCTTATGTGCGACTTCCTTATAACTGAGTGCACTTAACTATGGGTGTGCGTTGTTAGATCTCTTGCCCTCAAACTAACCCGACATGAGAAAACATTTAGTAAAAAATTCTCATCAAATGTGTCGCTTTAAGATAACAGCTAGGATATTGACTATCCATTATGAATATCGAATGATCACTGGTCTAGGAAATAAAGTTAATGGTTTTACCCTGAAGCGGAATACGATGGTATGCACCCACTCGACCCTCAATAATCTAAATTAAAGAGGTTATCTGGACTGCATCTGTGGCTGGTTTAATCGCTCGTAGCGCACAATTATGGTTGTTAATGCACTAGTGGACATGACTAATCCTTCGAACAAAGAGCTATAAAGAGCGGTCGTTACTCGTTATTTTATTAATAATAATAAATTTTTTTTGAATTTAATTTAAAAAATTAAGATTAAAATTAAAATGACTTGTGTTATCAAAAGGAAAATATTGATCGCTTTTTTCCAATCGACTGAGAAATTGTCCAACAAGCCTTACCATTTTTCTAAGTCTATGCTACTTTATTTCAGTTCATTTTTTCTTCTCTTTTTTATTCACTCGAGATTAATGAAATGTAATATCAAGAAGAAGAATATAGATAACCATTATGAATGGGGATTTGTGAAAAATTAAAGTTACAGATTCTTGTAGTTTTTTTTTTTTTTTTTTTTGTTTTGGATTGAAAGAGATACGATGGAATGGATGCCGGCTCCACCCAAGAATTACTAGATTTTTCGATGAATAGAATACGAATGTTTAGAATTCCGACTTCTTCCAAGCATAAGCGATATTAGAGTGGCTGATCAACACAGGTACCATACCGCGGGAAACAACAGGCATTGAAAGTTCTAGAACCTTAAACACAGATGTAAGACCAAAGACCTTCACCATATGTCAGATGGTGTAGTATAACGTGTCAACCGTTTGGTTTGATACAATTGTTAATTGTTTCAATCAATTCATTACACTGCCATGGAAAGCTACTTAGGGTTGTTATTATTTAAGTCGGAGGGGTGGAAGCGGTGGAGGAGAAGATGTTTTTTATGCAAAAAAAWTTTCCAGACCCCAACTTAATAGCATTCATGTATTATATGAAGTTATGTTAACTTTCTAATAATAATGAATAAAGGTTGGAAGATATGAATAGTGAAATTCTGCAGTCAGTTTCAATTCAAGTTCAGTAATTTAGTCTTGTATTTTAGCCTAAATCTCAAGGACATGAAGAACCTTTATTGAGTTTAATCCTCTTATTAGAATAGTGTTTGACAGRAGCTCTTGAACCGACGGTGCTTTTCCCGCAGGTTAAGTCTCTTTGACATTGGCCTTTACGCGCATTTCTTTCATTCTTATTTTGGGCTATTAAAAACGGATTATCCTTCTCACGATGGGTTAAAAGTAATCCCATCTTTTGTAGAATATTATGCATTTCAATTGAAATAACTGAACGAACAAAAAAAGAATAGAAAAGAATTTTAGTCAAGTGATGAAAAGGTTTTTACATCCAAAATTTGGCGGAAAATTCCTACTTCCTCGAATGGCGCACGTGTCTATCCACCAAAAAAGAGCGGGAAAAGTGAGCCATTTGTTGTTATTTTTTCTTCTTCTTCTTCTTCTTCTACGTTTTCTTTTTAAAAAAAGAGATCTTGGTAATAGGATTTCTCAACTAAAAAAAGGAATAAAACATTTGATTCCTCGTCGATGTCTGCGGTTGATACCTAGTATTAAATTTACAGCATGAATTGGTAATCCTTAACCCAAGAACGAAGCATTTTCATGCAGTCGCTGTGAGAGAAATGCTCAACAAGTCAAAGGTCCAATGCTTCTAAGCCGAAGCCATTATTTTATCCCCTTATAATAAGGTGTCTGATAAATTTAGAGATTTTTGTTCGAGACGATCCACTGTAAAAATATTTTTCCCAGCAGTGAATGCAAATTCCGTCGAGGCCTCCTATAGACTTTAACGAGCAAAGATTGGCATATTTAAAGAATGCGATACAAGTACCTACATGATGGCGGCTACAGCGAGTGAGTGAGATTCTATAGGGGATGCAAGCTATATATAGTAATGATGTCCTGCATGAATGGACGAACAGAAACCATAAAAGGAAAGAAGGTTATTTTTCAGATTTATTTGTACGAAGCATATCAAGCATCAGTTACAGAAAGTCTAAGGTTTTAACATTTTTTAAATTTTATGTCCTCAAAAACTTTAGAGAAAAAGTATAGATCTGAGAATCGTCGTCTTTAAATTGTTGCGAATGTCAACCTCGAGACACTAAACATACAAGATAAAGTTTTCTGTTCCTTGTGCAAGGTCTGTCATGAATCTTATTTAATGGCTTACAGCGACACAACGGAAAACTTATTGACGTAGATAGACTCACAAACCAAAGCCAGGTGCATGCGCAAAGATAGTAGTCGATCGTTAGCTATTTTGAAGCCATTAACTCAAGTCAAAAGGGAGTCACAGGCAAATAAATAGACATTTACAACACATATAAACGAAATAGTATTGAAGTGGACCCGCAGGTGAAAAGAATAATGAAAATGCTGATGTACGTTCAAAATATTTCGTCTTCATGTTTTCGGTCAAATGACACTGATTCAAAAGGCTTTTGAAAAGTCATTAGTAATAAAAGAGCGTGACAGCAAACACTAGCAAGGCTTGTATGAAACTAAATAACTAAAACGGCTATTTGTCAAAGTTTAACATCTAATATGCCATTATTGTTTATGTATGTTTGGAACTTAAACGATTAAAGACTCTAATCTACCACAGGAATCCCGCACAAAATCTCTAATAATATGGATAAATACAACAGATATTAAAAAACTTACAGAGAAAAAGGTCAAAACAGTGATGCAAAACTTAACGTAAATCCGTTTATCATTGCCATTTTGCAAATTTTGAAGGAGAAAAACAACCTCTGTTCACTGATTGTGCCGATTAACGTTCTCCAGTGTTTCTGCTATCTTCTGTAGCCAATAATTCTTTAACCTGATATAAAATGTTTTTAACCCAATTTCAAGGTTAATGATAGCCACACCTTTTACATTGGTATATATATATTCTTGGTTTGCAATCAATCCCAAGAGAGCAC